TCCATTCCCTCTACTCCAACAACACCAAGCTCCCCTTCGGGGTAAGAGGGGAACGGTGCCCTGGGGAGGTCCCAGGCTGTGCGGGGAGGGATGAGTTTTCCAGGGAAAAGCGTCAAGCCCGGCAGTTCCCGCAGGGAGGAGCTCGTGTCTCCCACTCAGGGACCGGGGCCACGCGGGCTGTGACACCCCCAGCCCCTCCTGGGGGGGGTTGGTGGGCTCTGCTTGTTCCATCCATCCCTGTTCCCGGGGGAACACCCCAGCCTGGATGTTCCCTCCATCCCTGGGAATCACCCCAGCCTGGGGTGATCATTCCCTCCATGCCCATCCCAGGGGACTGGAATCATCGATAATCCCAGAACAGACTCTCCGAGGTCTTTCCCAGCCCGGCTGATTCTCTGATTCCGTGACCTCGGAGATCATCCCGTCCAACCCCTGATCCAACCCCGCCCTGTCACCCAGCCTGTGGCACTGATGTCACATCCAGCCTGTCCTTAAACACCTCCAGGGACGGGGAATCCACCCCCTCCCTGGGCAGCCCATCCCAATGGCTGAGCACTCCCTCTGGAAAGGATTCCTTCCCAATATCCAACCCAAACCTCCCCTGGCACAGCTTGAGGCACGGCTTTCCCAGCCTGGCTGATTCCATGATTCTCTGATTCCCTGACTCCCTGATTCCATGATTCCCTGATTCCATGATTCCCTGATTCCATGATTCCCTGATTCCTCGATCCTCTGAATCTGGGATTCCCTGATTCTCTGACTCCTTGAGTCCCTGATTCTGTGATTCCCTGATTCCATGACACTTTGAATCCCTGATTTTATGATTCCCTGATTCCCTGATTCCTTGACTCTCTAATTCTGTGATTCTCTGATTCCCTGATCCTCTGAATCTGGGATTATCTGATTCCCTGACTCTCTGATTCTGTGATTCCCTGATTCCATGATTCCCTGATTCTGTGACTCCCCAGTTCCCTCATTTCCCCCCTTCCCGCGGCATTCCCGCGGCATTCCCGCGGCATTCCGTTGTCCCCGCAGGATTTCTGTGTCACCGTGTGCTTCGCCTTCTTCTGGCTGGTGGCGGCGGCCGCCTGGGGGAAGGGGCTGAGCGATGTGAAGGCGGCGACGCGTCCCGGGGCGCTGCTGGGGGCGATGGGCGTGTGCCAGGACCAGGGGGTGCAGTGCGGGCCGGGCCCCACGCCCGCCATGGGGCTGGCCAACATCTCCGTGGTGAGTGGGGTCTGTGGGGTCTGTGGGGGGTTCATTCGGGGATGGGAGGACATGGGGTGCATGTGGGACATGGGGTACAGGGGGCGTGAGGGGTGCCCAGGGCACACGGGGTGTGTGGGGGGTGTGAATTTAGGGGATATAGGGTGTGTATGGGATATAGGGTGTGTGTGGGATATAGGG